CCCAGAACACAAGTACTATGATATGATGACATGAGGCTGTAGCTCCCCAACAGCTGTACAAGCAGATTTTTTACCAGGGTCCTTGACATTTGGAAGTTTGGTATCATTTATTTCCCTATCCACTCTTTTCCCATTCTCTCCCCGACTCCAGTCTTTAAGCAGGCAGTACATCCTTCTCTCTTTCTCCTCCTCTCTCCCTCAGACGAGTGGAGATGGATGGACAGTGTGTGCAGGAGTCCTTGGCTGAACTGTAGAAGTGCTGACATGGCGCCAAGCCCTCTAACAGCGCGATGACGCCTCTATCTGTCTCTCCATGATGCACTCTCTCTCTAACATGCACACAAACACACACACACGTACTGTATATACATACACAACACCCTCACAGGTGCATGTCTAAATAGGTACTTGCACAAAACATGCACACCCCCATATTAATGTATGACTGAACATATACACAGAAAAGTGCACACTTGGCGTGCCTTATATCTGCACACAGATTTATATTTATGTGATGTGCAAATCCACGTGAGCAGGCTAGTGTGTGCACACGTGCATGCATGTGTATGTTAGCAGCAAAACACGAAACCTCTCCATCTATCTAGTGATACCTTTATCACTCTGTCCAGTCCCCTATATAATCAGCATCAGTCTCTACTGACACACACACACACACACACACACACACACACACACACACACACANCACACACACACACACACACACAGGCCCTCACATAGATACACCCACACACACACAAACACACACAGGTCAGCTGAGTGATGTTTCGAGTGTGTATTTCTCCTCTGCTTGTGTTAAAGCGAGTCATCTATCCTTCCACAGCTTCATTACAACCTGCAAGGGCAAACACTATCTCTCGCTCCCTCTGCCTCTCCAGATGGGGAAGAGAGAGACAGAGATATACAGTAGATAGAAAGTGAAATCCCTCCCTCTCTCTCTCTCTCTCTTTGTACCCCCCACCTTGCTTTTTCTCTCTTGTTCCTCCATCTCTATATTTATCCTTTGTTTTTTTAGATCTCTCACCTTATATCTATGTTTTCAATCACCTAGCCTCAAGCAAGTGTCAGCATGGTTAAGCACCATGGTTAACCCACTAACAGATGCAGCAACACAAATGCAACAGTCTATACAAACACACAGGTATGGCCAAAAATATGCAGACCCCCCCCCCCCCATCCAGATACTTTTTGTTAGAGATATTTCTTTGTGGTTTTTTTCCATTAAGAGAAATCTTAATGCAACAACATGGCCAAAGATTATGAAAGCCCTGTCACAACCTGTTCCCCTCTGCCCCCCTGTCGCCATCCTCTATCTCTCCCCTCATTTCCCCAGACGACATCACACTCTCCTCCATAATCCCACTCACTTGTCTCCCCCGCTCATCCACACACTGTTCCCTCTTCCCCAATTAGCCCTGCAGTCACCCGATCTCTCTCTGCAACTGTTCCTCATTCACAATCAACAGTGCAGCAACTTAAACGGCTTTTAAATGGAACTCATGAGCTTGTGGTTATGACACTGGGAAGCCGTGTGCACAGTGTGTTTAGCATTACAGCGGTTCAGTCATGAGAGCACTGCCGGGCAACAGCAACATGAATGCCGATATTCAAATCACTGGTTGCAGGAAATGCAAAGGTTTGATTGCAAATGGAAAATATTTGAATATGTTTAACTCGTCATCCAAGGGAAAACAAAACCGCCATGGCCTCTGTCATTTCTGGAAAAACATCAGCAAACACTATACGACTAGAGAACTTGGAGCTTTCAGCAGTTTTTGAGGTTATGAATACCACAAGAGGGGGGTGTTCATATGGATTGATATGAACATGATCAACATTTTGAAGCCAGCATTTTTCCAGCCGCATCTCCACAGTCTCTGTCAGATTGTCTGCTTTTGTTCGCAGTGTTCCTTGAGTGAAGAATGCTGTTGTCTGTTCCTGTTAGTTTGCCTGCCTGCCTAAACTACTGGTTTAAAACCAGGCTTCCTGGAAGCCTGGTTGACTTTTTATATATTCACTGCATCAGCCTGCCTTGTGTGTCTGCATTTGAGTTCGCTGCCTGTGCTGTGCTTCAGCAGTTGTGACAGCGTCCCTGTGCACAAAGCAAGGTCCATAAAGAAATTGTTTTTTTGACGTTGATGTTGAACAAAAAAACAACTGACCTGCAGAGACCCTGCCACATCCCCCTAGAAAGTGTTGGTTATTATAGCTGCACACTGATGACCATGTTTTTGGGGTAACACTAAAATAATGTCACATATGGGTGTAATGCATCAGTGGTGGTTAACAACGTCGTGGAGTTTAATCTGGGACTCTAAATTGACCACAGGTGTAAATGTGGAGTCCCAATGTTTTTTGTCTCTGTATATTGGCCCTGTGACACACTAGTGGCCTATCCTGCCTCTTGCCCAATGTCAGATGGGATTGGTCCCAGCTGTGCAACCCTCAAACGATAAGAAGCATCGATAAAAGACAGATATAATGCTCAGATGTGCACATACTTGTGGTTGCATAGATACACAGATTAATAGAGACATGCTGGGTAAAAAAGGTAAAAAAGGCTGTATTAAATAAAGAAACAGTAATTTAAAAGGTCATGCTTCTATGGGGAGAGACGGGAGGAAAGACAGAGACATGAAAAAGAAAAGAGAACTTGTAGAACGCTTCAGTTTTTGAGGCCCTACAGATATCGTGAATTATACATGGCTAAAACCTCTTATTCTCTAAATTTTAAATGACTCGCTGTTATCAAAAATAACCTGATCTGTGGAGCATTAGGAGGCTCGCACGCAACACAGTGTGGCTCCTGCAGTGTTAGGCACAGGTCTGTCGTCCGACTCAGACTCATATATGTCTTTCCCATTAACAAAAGACATAATTTATTAACAGAAAAAAACAAGTGAGTTATCTGAATGGCACATATTCATCCATGCATTTTTATGATAATGATGCTAATAAATGTTTTGACTCATCATAAGAGCAGGAAATAGATGCTGTTACTGATCAGTTGATCTTAGTTGTGGAAAAACACACTGTAACTGGGAGCCCCAAATAGAAACACAACATGTGCCTGACTCACCAAAGAAGCAGGAGTTAAGCCTTGGACACCCTCTACTGGCTCATACGCCAGGCTGATGAAAAGGCTGTGGACGCGCTGGGACGTCGACTTGTCTCCTCAGTGGTACAGCCTCCCTGAGGAAAATTATTACACATTGTCAGAAATCAGGCTCCAACCATATCCAGGAAGTCTTAAAGAGCAATTTAGCTGTTTGTAGGGAAAACATAGGGAAATGTAGTTTATCAAAGAGTTTAGAGTTAAAACAATTAGTCATAAGTTTCCTATTGATCCCTCCCCAAGGTCTCTTATCCCAACAACCACAGACAGGCTCATTACTCTAAAAGACAAGCGTATAGACAGTAAAGACTGATAAAGCTGGATCAATGCCACTGATCAGTTCCCATCTTGGTATGGATAAGCACAGAGAACTGGAAGAGACAGAAAGGGCATTCTCATCGAATGGAAGCTTTCAAACTGCCTTTTGGCTTGAATACACCAAGAGTGTGATGTGACTGTCCCTTCTGACAGAGTCTCAGGGAGGGGAGTTAAAAGGGAAACCCAAATCCAATCCATTAGTGAATTAATAATCCTTAAAAGTAAAGTCACTTCTTTAGCCATAGAGTTGAAGGAGCTTTGGCAAGACTAACAGTCTATATTAGTCACAGCCCGGGCTGTGTGGGGCTGGAATGCTTATTACACACCATAAAACTATGGATGGATGAAAAAATTATTCCTTTACACTAGTGGGATAAAATATTTGGTGGGTTTTGAGGGTGGAACCAGGAGGAAAAAAAACGGTTCTAAACAGAAGTGTTAAGAGTATAGATTGTGTATAAAGATGAACTCCCACTACGCAGCTAAAACAATTCCATATATGAGCACTCTGACTTATAAGTGTGATCAGAACTACATGAATGATAGAAAGAAAAGTGTATTAAATCTGTTCTGTGACTTCTTAGTTTGATCCAAGTCTGATCTGCTAACATGGAAAAGGTGGGATCTATGACCTATGCTGCAGCCAGAAACCAGGGGACAACAGAAACACTTTGGCTTCACTTTTGAGGAGCTGTCATGTCACCTATCTACTGTTGATGACAACGGAGCAGCTGCTGACAACGATAAAGTGACGGAAAACAGATAATAAATGAAACTGGAGGTCAACCATTCTTTTCTATTGTTCATTTAATGTGCACACAACCTCAGGAGAAGCACATTTCTGAAATAAGGTACGAGAGAGCTCAACGCACTGCAGCCAGGTTCATCACTATTTTTGGGTCCCCTGGAAACATTTCCGTTGTCATTTTGGGTATTGTTGTGTTGTCAGATTGATGAAGTTGTTTTCTCTTTTGCATTTTTTTCTTCTACTTTTTTACTTTATTCACTCTAACCAATGCTGTAATTACTCTTATTTTTCTGACGTTCTCCATTACATGTGGCATCTATCTAACACTTCTGTCCGTCCTGGGAGAGGGATCCCTCACATGTGGCTCTCTCTTTTTTTGGTAGTTTCTCCTTACTGTTGTTGAGGGTTAGAGACAGAGGATGTCACACCTTGTTAACACCCTATGAGACAAACTGTGATTTGTGAATATGAGCTATTCAAATAAAATTTGATTGATACTTGCAAAGTGTGATCTTAATGTGCAGTGCATTGAGCTCTCTCAACCACAATATTAACGTCGATCCAGATCAAATCAAATAGGCTTTACTTGCATTAACCATAGACTGGATATAAACATCACTTTACTAGCGGAGCTAAATGACAGAGAAAGAACCCATTCACAGTGTGTTGTGTTGTGTTGTGTTGTGTTACTGCAGGGCTGAATGAAGAGTCTTTGTGTGACTCAGCAGCTCCAGTCTGAGTTCACCTCATGTGGCACCACGGAGACACTCCCTCCTCCACGTCAGTGTGCTCACAGGGCGGGTTGTTTGTTTGGCTGCTGGCCCCCTTCACTTCCCCGTCCTCCAGGCCACTGTGCCTCAGCATCTACAGATATGCTCCTGTCCGGAGTAAACAGCTGAAGTGAACTTTTCTCTCCACTTCCCCTCTGTCTGCACATCATGGGAGACACGGATGCGGTCGGGCCCGCGCTGACTCGCCGGAGAAGGGCGACGTTAACGCCGGGGAGAGGTGCGAGTCTGCAGCCGGTGAACGGGAGGTTCGCTGCGGCGTGTCAGAGCCCGGGTACCGCCGGTGCCGCTGGTGGTGCTGGTGGTGGTGGTGGTGCTAGCATGGTGGACAGCGGCCGTTCACAGGAGGCAAAGAGCGAGAAGAGGAGGCGGAAGAACGACATGAGTGACCGACTGAGGTCAGTGACTGAAACTGACAGAAGAGTTCGAGGAGAGGGAAGTTTGTTTAGTGACGTGGCTAATGTGGAAGCTAATGTGGAAGCTAACGTTAAAGTTACCGTCTGATGCAGCTGGTGCTGATAAACGTTAGTCCGGGTTAAAGGTCACAGAGACGGGTTACAACACTTCTGCCCATGGTGTTTCCGTGTTTGCCATTCATTCACACTTTCAATAATAATTTAAAGACTTCAACACTGGAAAACAAATATTTGTGGCTCAGCTAATTTCTCTGTTTTTTGCAAAAGTGGGACTAAATTGGTTTTGTTGTTGATCAGGGGCGCGTCTAATGGGGGGGGGGGGCATAAACTGGACTGACATGTGGACCATCAAGCCTCTGCTCGTGATTGTTTGATTTTCACTCATTACTTCATTCTTTAATTCAACTACATGGCAGAGTAATGTAAACACTAGTGATCCATCTTTGTGGCTAACTGTATAGTTCAGGTAGGACTTGCTTGTCATCGATCAGGGCCCCACAAACATGAGTGAAATGTGGCCTGACAAGTTTAATCTCCTGAGGCCAGCACTTTGTCCCACTTCACACAACACAGCACAGTATAAGCTGTGAACTCATGTTTCTACAGTTCTACCTGATGTGCAAGTGAGTGTGCTGTACTTAATTGTTGTGGGCCATCATGAAATATTAAAAACAGTCTGCTAAGGGACTTCCATTAAACCGCAGCTAATGCTGGATGATAAAACAGTAACCATTGTTATTGCAATACAATTGAATCAATACCAATATATACAAACTATATATTAATACATGCTTATACTTAAATTTATCTCAGATTTGTAAAATGTTTTGCTGTTTATCAAGTGTTAAATAATGTCACATTAAAATATATTATAATGTGACATTTATGCTAATTGTCAATATGGACTGATATGAAAATATTTACCTTGATATAATATTTGGCCATGTCACTCATTCCTAACCACAACTCCTACAACTAAGTAAATACAATTCTCCATTCTCTATTATTTACTTTATATTTAGTTTTAGTATGCTGCCACTCCTTTGTTTTACGGTGAAGGTCAGTGTTGGGCTAATAGTGACCCCCGGGCTAAATGTGGCCTTGCAAACATAAATATTTGGCCCCAACAAATGTCACCACCCCCCTTCATGACATTTTCCCATGTATAGTAATGGAATTTTTTGCAGAATTCAACTAATGAAATAAATAAATCTCCTTTGAGTAACTATCTTGCGGCCTATGTAAATCCCAATAGCATTGTAGCAGCTAATAATATGAATAATTTACATCTCATACACAAACAGGCTAACAGAAGTGTTATGCTGATGTAGAACAAAAAAAGAAAAAACATCCTCATTGACAATAACATGCCTGTCATTCCACCCTAAATGAAATAGACGACTGTTAAACTCTTAATGGATCCATATCAAGGCACTTGAAAGCTTAGAGCAAACGCAGATTTCAGTTGAGGTCGACAAAAAATGACAACCTCTTCTTTTTTTCTCATATTAATCTTTCGATTTGCAAACATTATATTCTGTGTGTCAAATATAAAAACATAAAATTCAGATCATTTTACTCTTGAATGAGCCATGCCTCTGTCTATTTCAGTTGCTGTCACAAGACACAGGAGTCGCTACTCAGTTCAGCCAGTGGTTACAACAACTACAGAGGAATCCTCAATTGGTGTGTGGTGATGCTGGTAAGATACAAGTGTGCGCACACAAATAAAAACATACCCACACACAAGAAGTTGGATTTTAGTTCTCTACAGTTTTAAAAGATATTTGCAAAGATACTTCCTCACACATTGTTGTCTATTTCAATAGTACTACAACCACCAAGTATGACATAGTTTTACTGCAGCAGCACAGGCTTCACACTGATTCTTATTCAGCAGGTTGCATTATTGTGTTTATCTGTTATTAGTTTTGATCTTCATATGGAAATTAAATGAAAGCTACCAATTTGTTCTCATCATCTCTTTTAAATCAAGGTAATCACAATAAGGAGGAAGTGATTACCGAGCAGATAATCCACTTGCATGGAAAAAAAGTTGCACAAAATAAAGAATAAGTCCAGATTGTTCAATAAATACTAACTTGTTTTCAAACTTATCTCACTGTGTCCAATCTGAGTCTTGCTAAGGTGTTTGCTTTTGAAATAGACTTGTTTTTAGATCCTGTTGTAAAATGGTTAAAATCAGAGCTACAGTAGAGGAAGGTCATTTAGGGGAAAAGAAAAAAGTATTTTTCATGAAGTAATCAAAATTAAAACAATCAAGTAAATTTTTTGGAGAAACCACATAAAAAAGGATTTGGTTCAATCTGTACTATCTCAAACTATTCACTCAGGACCGCTCTGCTCACTAGTGTCCACCAGTTTCCTTCAACTAAACATCACAACCTGAGTAGACTGATGGGTCACTGAGGCAGGTCAGAGGTCAAGCTGATGATAAGTTATAGAGCGCCCTCTGCTGGATCTTAAGGCAAACTACTTCATTGAGTCTGTCGTTCCAATAGGCTGTGAATTGTGAATTCTTACAGGTCATTACATCGTTTCCCCCACATTCACACAAATGTTTGATTTTCAAATAAAAAGTGACAGCGCCAATGATTAGCAAGTGTACTATATTTTAAACTCAACATCTAGTGCGGCTCTCAGTCCTCAGTGCTGTGACAGAATATAAGAGAATAGGAGCAGAGGAGGCTAGCAAAGCCTTTTGTTAATCCAAGCTTTGAACACTGATTTTTTTTTGTGTTCATCGCAAGAGGTTTTCCTTCTTTCTCACTGAACTTCTGTCCCGTGCCCAGGCAAAGAGCCTTTGTGCTGGGTAATGAGATATTCCAATTCATATAGAGGGAAGGAGAGTGAGGGGGAGAGATAAAAAAAAAAAAGAAGAAGAATGGTGGGAGGAGGATGATGAAGAGAGTGAAAAGTGGGGTGAGGAGAGAAAAGAATGGGATGTACAGTATGGAGAGAGAAAAGCATAGACAAGGAGAGGACTGATGTGGAAGGACAAGTTCATTCAATTAAGAGGGAAGAAGTGGCAGTGAGAAGAATGAAAGAAACGCAAAATGCGAATATGGAGTATGGCAAACAAACATATTGAAGTTTAACAGTGATATCTCTAACTTTTGTGTGTTACTCTAGGTGCTGAGTAATGCTCGCCTCTTCTTAGAAAACCTTTTGAGGTGAGTACATCTGGAGTCTTAGTCCCGTCTTTTTCACATAAATTACTACCACTTACTTCAAGAGGCTTCCTGCGCTGCTTAATACCCAGAATGTCATTTTCAGACAGTGATTACAATGATGTTATGAAATGAAATATGCCATGAAACAGGAAGTTTGTACCAGGGTTGTAAAAATGTTAAAAACCTCTTCCGCCTCTTACAGTGTCCTTTATTACTGATCTCTCAGAGAAGACCTTTTTTGCTCTATTCTGACAGTCACGTTTATTCATTATAGCTTTTTTGACATGTCGTAGCAGGTAAAGCTCTAGTGTAATTAATACAAGATCTGCAGGCATTTCACTCAGGCTCATTGACATGACTTCCTGGGTCTCTTAGGAGAGCAGAGCCATTGTTAATGTTTTTAGACACCTGACAAGTGTCTGCTGTAAGAATGAGTCCATATGGATAATATCTATATCTGCAGTCAATTATAAGCAACTGACCAAATTCAATAATCCCTCAGATAAGCTTCCTCAATATCATCTCTTAAAACTCTTTTTAAAACACATTTTGTATTAAGTGGCTTTTAATTGTTCGTTTTTTGTTTTATATTATATTGCATTTTTTAAAAGTGCTGTACAAATACAATTTACTATTATCTCTTGTAAACAGAGATACTGTATCTACATGCACTGATATTTAAATATCAGTTTCTCAATCCCAACTGTTCACTCATACATCTTCATACAGATTTCTCCTTTTTTAAATTTGTTGTTTCCTTTTTCCTTATAATTTTTTTGCTTGTTTGTCAGATACGGTGTTCTGGTGGACCCTATTCAGGTGATTTCCTTGTTTCTGAAGGACCCCTACAGCTGGCCAGCAGCATGCCTGGTAATTGGTAGGTAAACCTGTCCAAAATATCTACACTATGGAAAGCATACAGTGCAGTATATTCCTTTGATGAATATTTCAGTTAATAATTAATATGAATGATTATTTGATAATAATAAATTAAGTTGGGGTGGATAACTCACTTCAAAATGTCACCTGCGGTGCAGAGCTGCAGCTTGAAGGGAAGAAAAGAATGAAAAGATTTCTCAAACTAGAACAACCAGCCGCAGCAGCAGCTTCAATAAATGATAGGAGAGGCGTGGGAGTCATATGCAGCTTTGTGGAACTGAGTACCAATATGTCTGACAGTGCCCCTAAACAAACCATTTCAAGTGATGTATACCATTGGACTGAATTTAAAGCAGTAAAAACTTTTTTTTTTCCACATGATATAGCACAGAAGGTGGGATCTGTTTCATTTCAAGCCATGCTTTGTTTTAAGACACACAGGGGCACATGCTATATTCAAAGTTCTTCCAGTGTTTATTTTTATGGTATGTTGCAGTGAAAGTCTGCAGTGGTGCAGCTCACAGTGTCTCCAGAGGGACAATCACCTGCTCTATATACTGCATGCTGGTACCGTGCTGCAGAGAGAGAGGTGGTGAGATAAAAAAGAGAGGGATCGTTGGGGCGGGGGGGCATGTAGAGGGAGAGTTATGGAAGAGAAAATGAAGTGGGTGATTGTGTACAGGGAGGGTTGGAGACAGGTTAAGAAGCCTGGATTGAAAAGAGAGAGGTGGAGAAGGAGAGGGATGAGAAAGGGAATTGATATAAAGTGATGCATTGAAACAAGGCAGGAGAAAAGAGACAGAGGGCTGGGTGAGTTAAGGTAAATGACAGGTGAGAGTGGGAGCCTGTGACATGATGAGTGAAGGACCTCATTCCCAGAGGCCACATTACTCATATAGGCCCTATTCATGCCTGAAAGATATGTAACAAAATAAAAATGACTACACCTGTTATATATTTTGTTGACCAGTGTACTGAGAGTATCTCTCAAATGTTTCCAACCTTCAAACTTCGACAAATCCCAAATTCCTTCTGGGTCTAACAGCATATGACAAAGGAAAGACACACTTCTTGCTTGTTAGCCAGTTAGCAAGTTCCTCTCTTTGTATTGGTCACTTGTAAAGTATCACGATTATTCATTATTCATTTGTTTGTTTAAAAGGCATCTCTGATGATCTGATCACAAGTTGACAGCTCTAAGTACATGTATGAATGCACCCAGGACTAAGATCATATTCACTCAGAACATATTCAAAAGTGGTGTGAGCTGCATGCGGCCACATTCTCTCATCCGTGTGAACACAAATGTGTCCGGGGCCACTCACTCATCTGACGTCCTCTGACCTGCTACAGTTTCATAATGAACCGTAAATATTTTGAAGCTTCTCGGTGTTTCCCACAGGCCATATTGATTCGTTTGTGGCCACAATATCAACATTGACTGCCACATATTGATTTTCATTATTTTTTTACTATTTCAAATGAGTAAAATCTTATTTCACTGTAGAGCTGAGCACAGCATATTGATTTGCTCAGTCCCGTCTTGCTCTCTCTCTCTCTCTCTCTCTCTCTCTCTGTCACACGCACACACACACACACACATTGAGATCAGACCGGTCTGTCATAGTCAGATGGGCTAAAAGCAAGAAAAAGTTTGTCTTTGCAAACAGAAGAGATGTATGTGTTTATTTCTATACAGAGCGAGGAAGTGAGATCCGCTAACATGAAATCCATAGAGACGCATGTTAATGCCAGCTGTGAACAGGCTCTATGATGAATTTTCCTCTAATGTAAGGTTTTTCACTGCATCATAAGTGTGCTGCTTTAGAAATGTCAGCCAAAAGCTCCTCTGCAGACACCTAGTGTACAGTTTATGGGCATAGAACAGGTGCTAAATGGTGCTGTTTGTTTCAGTTTGATGCATGAGTGGGTAAAATAGCTGGTGTTTGTCAAAGATGCTGAGCAGGCCTGTTTCCAAAAGAGATTTAAAAAAGCACATTAGGAATAGCACGCTGTGACACTCTTCTCATCTCTGTGCTTTAGTTAGTTGAGTCTTTGTGTTCGATCAACACACCCACCCCCCTCCATCCTGGACGACAACTTCAGACCACTCCCCTAAAACTGCTCTTCTAAGCATTTAGAAGCCACTTACATTGTGTCAAGAAAAATCTTTCACTTTTTGGACCATAGTAGGAACAGTATAATATTTCCTGATGCTCCAAATTACATATTTGTTTGATATAAATAGTTTTGATAAAACATAATTATTACAGTGAGAAAAAGTACAGGAAGCTGATCTCCTAACTGTATGACTTTTATCTTGAGGTACTACGGGGTTATAAAAAACACAGAATCGCATGCAACTATATTGAAAATCTTTGAAAATCTTCTACCTAATTGTAAGTTATGGCAGGTTGAATGAGATTATTTTCACTTGTGCATGATTAGCCTGTTTAGTATACAAACTTGGGCACTGTCACAAAAAAGAGGTGTATCTTTGAGGCATTTTGCACTAAAAAGCTCTGGCAGTTTACACATCCGTGCTCTCTACATTAGATGGATTGACATGCTAATGCTCTGATTAGAGTCTTAAAATGGAACAATTGCTGCAATTACGTACTGTCAGGGAGGCTCAGTCTAGTCAGGGTAATAAGCAGTCGACATATCAGTGTTTTTTTAGGTTTGTTCAGCAATGAGTTTCCATGTAATTTAACCTGATACTGGGGGAAGTGTACATGCAATTCAGCCAAATTTGCACCTCACAGAATCAGGGTTTATGGCCACAACTGATGCATAATCAAGTGTATATTGAAGAAAGAAACTGGGCGGCACAAAACTAATTGAACTATTTTGGGGCCAATATGAACTCCTGCTTTGTGGACATTGTCCATGATAGTTACACAACAAGTTTTCTCTGCACTCTTTGCGTAGGTGTAGCTAAAAAGGCAGTTGAAAAGCCAAAACCAGTGCTGCTGGTTCATGACTAAACACGTTGAATTATGTTGAGCTCCAGTCTTTTGAATTTATGATTCTAAATGTCTAAATGTCTAAATGTCATTAATCCTAAAAGGAGGGAACTCAGTAGAGTCTATACCTCTGCCAAGGCCTAACAGTCCCCTCATGAAACCACATTTAAATTCATTAGATCATATTTTTTGGGATCTGCACCAACTCATAAATATCAGTCCCCTAAACATTAAAGAAAGTGAAGAGGAATTTCTGGATCCTCCCCCTCTTTTGGATCTGCACCCAAATTCTGTGGGTTCTCCCCTGGTTCATGCCCCACCCCCTCCACAACTCCTCAACCAGTTGAGTTGTTTTGCAAATGAAGACGACAGAATACGACCTATTTCTGTATTCATATGAAAAAGCTTGTCAATCTTGCTTTTTGAGATGTACGTTTTTACATTATTTAAACTGTACATTTGTATGACTACTGCAGAACTACTGGACACATGTGGAGTAAACAGAGCAGTTTGGGGACCAAAGAGGAACAACACACAACATAGTGTTGCTGCAATTACAGTTGTCCCAGGAAATTGGGAATTGGCTCTTGAGATACAAGTCTTGTCTCAACTGTTATATTTCTGACTTTATTTTATCTCAATTTCCTGATGTAGCAATTTTATTTGCTCAGCAGGTAGAGCGGGTCGTCTTCCAAACATAACCTCGGCGGTTCAATCCCAGTCTCCCCCCATTCTGAAGTGTCTTTGGGCAAGTTTCTGAACATTAAATCGCCCCTGGCTGTACAAATAGTGTGTGAGTGATTTATCGAGAAAGTGCTACTGTAAATGGATTTAAGCAGTCACCAAGAAGAGAAAAGCTCTATATACATACAGAGCTTTTACCATGTTACACATTCAAACATGAGTAGTATTGCGACTTGTTTATACGTCTAAAGTAAAACTTTCAGTGTCTGTCACCCCGCTGGGACCCTACAGAAGTGTGAAGGAAAAAAAAGAATGGAACATGAACTGTTTTTGATAAACTGACACAAGCCTCTCTTTGTGTTTTGACAGTGTCCAACGTGTTCATTCTGGTGGCTCTGTACACGGAGAGGCAGCTGTCGAAGGTGAGTGGAGAAACCCTTGTTGCACTTCAATATCAAAGCGCTGTCGATTTGAGCGGAAATGTTGAATTCAGAGCTTTCAGCAACACCCAGGAGGGATTATGTCTCTAAAACTGACTCCCTGACCTTCCCCGGCTGCATCTGCATATGTTAAATAGGAAATTAGTTTCACCATCTGTATTTAGGACATATTCAGTTATGCTCTGTCTGCTTGGCATGCATATGGAACATTATGAGCCTTTTAAAACTTTACTAGGCCACCGTAACTCTAAATGTTCTGTTTTACTCCAGTTCTCACAGGCTGGGTAAACAAATGCTTGAAAGTTTTGGATGTTTTGCTGATGTATTCTAAAGCAGGACATCCCACTGGTTTTTAAGATTTAACATAAAACCTCCTGCTGCCCCCTCTCTCATTTTCTACTCAGAGTTCATTCAGTGAACCTGTGGGATTTCTGGTCCACTGCATTAACATGGCAGTCATTCTAACATTCCCCGCTGCAGTGATCCTGTTGGTCCCCTCCGTGACCCCAGGTAAAGTGTTTCTCGCTATTAATAAAATACCGTCTCTGACTGCTCGCTGCAAACGACTCTGCATAACCAAGACAGTGACTGTGACCATAGCACCTATTATGCAGCTGCACCATTATCTATTCATTGGTGGTTTACAATGTACCCATGGGTATAAAACAGAAAATAATGTGATTGTAATGAAGATTAAGAGCACATCCACGTCCCTGCCCTTCAGAGAAACAGTTGACCAGTTAGTGCAGTAAAAGACATGTCTTGTACAGAGACATAATTGGAGTCGGTTAGTGGTAATGGTGCAGTTGGTCATGACTGGATTATTTCCAGCTGGCTCAGAAGAGAGGAGAGGAGAGGAGAACAGAGGAGGAGTGGAGGTAGGTTTAGTTTGCAGTACAGGCTCATTCAAAGGTCACCTTCTTCTGTCCTTATCAGGCTACATGACGACACAAAGTATGGCCACCTCCACAAACCATGCTCTTAGTGATTAACAAGTGTGATCATGCACATATTTTAGTTTGAAGTTGGTGTTAATTTAGAGAGATCTCCTCTCCTCTCCTCTCATATGTTCTCTCACCGGGAGGTGAAGGAGTAAAGGAGTCAGTCCATCTGTCTGTCTGTTCTCTCTGCGCTGCTGTTCACACAGGAAGGGCAATTACAGAGGGCAGGTGTGTGTATGCACAGGTGTGTGTGTGTGTGTGTATAAACACTGCATATGTGATACATAGTATACATGAAGCAGAGATACTGTATCTGATATCAATGTTGATTTTAAATCATGTTAAAGTTCTTTAGAGGATCACTGCAGTGGTGAAGCAGAACTGTTCTCTGCTTCCATTATTTCATTATTTCCTCTCTCTTTGATGTCTCTTCGTGGGGCAAGTCAGGTACACGACATGTGTTTTGCAAGATGGTGTAAAACCCACTGTAACGCTCTGTTCATTGAACATTAACAGTATCCTGAGAGGTAACACATGAATGAACTGACAGAGCAACAATTCAAAATGAAGGAAAATAATTGTGGGACAGGTATTCAGACTCACCACTTTTTATGCCTCTGTACTGCTGACGGAGGAGGCATTGTGTTTTTAGGTTGTCTGTTCATCCCAGTCTTGTGATCTCAAATGCTCAGTTCAACTCAGAGATGAACTGATTTGGGTGGTTCAAGTCTGCATTTAGGGAAATTCTTCACATTTTCACCAGTTGTCACTTTGACTCAAACATTAACTGATTCGATTTCAGAGGTCAAAGATCACAGTGACCTCATGAGTCTTGAAAAATATGTATGTTCACTGAAACTGCACTGGTTGGTGGAGGCATACAATTCTAGTTTTTAGATTATTTTTTATGCCAGTAATCAAAAGCTCTCTGTGTGATGAATGAGAAATGCCGTTCAGTGCCAGTTATTAAAATTTGTCATCTTAAATTCCAAACTTAATAACCATGCATAATGTTGGGGGGATGAGGTGTTAACTTGGCATCTGAGGTATGAGCGGTTGGAATCATGTTACCTGACGGAGCTGAGCCTGGTTGGTCTGACGGTGGAACCTCTTTGAACTTTTTACATCAATCCCCCCAAAGAGGACAGACATGTCTTATAGTAAAAACTGAAGCCTATTTATTTTAAACCAGTGAATCATTATTACAGTCACAATACAAAAAACACAAAGTCAACCAAGCAGAATTTAATAAAGTTAAAATGGGGATGTTCCCTGACAAACTGAATGATTTTGGTGGATGGTTATTGGCTCTTCTTGATATTTCCCCATTTAAGCCTGGCCTGTGTGACTGTGTGTGTATTATCACTGTGTTCAGTAACTGTCTGGTGGCTACACTGAGCCAGAGAGACAGATGGTAAATGGATGAGATCTGCTGTGATTTGATATCAGGTGTGTTTGACCTGTACCTCACCCTGTAGGCAGCCATTATTTATTCATGTGTGCATTTGTTCACAGGTATGACTTTGTTAGTGCATGTATGTTGGTGTGTGTTTTCCTCTTTGCTCAGCATGATCCACATGATCCGTTTGGAGGGAAACTACTCAGTTGGAGTGTGTGTGTGCGTGTGCATGCTCATGATTCTCAAAATATGCTTATTAATCTCCTTCTTATCACTTTTCCCTGATCAACCAATAAATCCTGACACACATGCAAACACACAGTGGTAAACAACTTGCTCTCACTGCTCTCTTACACTGAGTTGAGTTCATTTATTTTACTGGGCTTGTTGAGCTGTTTGTTCAAGATCAAATGACGACCTCTCTTTCCCTCCATTTTTCATTTTCTAAATCCTTCTTTCTCTCTCTTTGTTTTTCTCCAGCTTTCCATCCTGCCCCAGTCTCTCCTGTCATCCTTCATCTCTCATTGTTTCTTCACTTTCTTCTTCTCTTTCCATCTATCCCTTCCTCCCTTCTTCTTGACTATTGTTGCCCTCCACTGTCTTCTTATCTGTGCCTCTCATCTCTTTGTACATACTCACAGTGTATCAGCTGATTGCATGTTCTTGCATTATATAGCCTCATCCATAACACAATTTAAATATGTCTTCCTCTCTCTACTCTCCCCTCAGTTGGTGGCGCATTCGCACTGGGTATTTACACCATTCTCTTCCTGAAGCTCTATTCCTACAAGGATGTCAACATGTGGTGCAGAGAGATGAGTTCTGTCAAGGCTAAGAAGCTGGCCAGGTCACTGTCTTGTAGGTCACACACGCACGCACACACATCTCCCTCATCCAGAGGATCCTCCATGTTCCCTTATCATGCTGTTACAGTGACATCTAATGGTAGAATTGTGAAATAGCAGCTCTCAAATTAAAAACCGAATTAAATTTCATTAGAAGTACATTTTAGATAAATTGACAGCTGAATAGTTTTTCAATTTAGTTTTTTATTTAATGTTAACAACATTTTTGTGGCCTTTTTTTTCTCTCTATTTGTATGTCATAAGCCATAAAATAACATATTACAGAACACATTATTTTAAGTGTCGCTATATGAAGCATATGTGTGAATTCCTCCTGCAGGTCCCACACCACAGTGTTTCAACAGAGGTGACCGAATGGTTTGTTATCCTGGCAACCTCACCATCAGAGGTACTGCAGCTTTCTAGCTTTCTTTTTCACAGCTGCTATTTGGACATGAAATAGTCGGTAAACGCAGGGATTACCTTTTGTTTAATGTCAAAATGGCGGCTGTGATAAAGGTCTACAGGTCGTACTTCTATCATCTATCACTGCCTCTATGTCATGTTTCATTTTGCCACATTTATCATCACACTGACCTCCTCTCTGTCTCTCCAGACATGTATTATTTCGTCTTTGCTCCGACTCTGTGCTATGAGCTCAACTTCCCTCGCTCTCCGACGATTCGCACGAGTTTCCTGCTGAGGAGATTGTTTGAAATGGTGAGGAAATGTCTCAAATCAGCAACAGCCCAAAAAAACACCTACATTTACTGGGGCCATATTTCAAGGCATAGAAAGGACATCGTTAGTGTTTAGGAGTGACAGTCTCACATTTTTACAGGCAAAAGAGTTTGTAAAGATCTGTAAACAGAGCTTTACATTTGCTTTAAATGATTGTAATGAGGGACATGATTATTTAAGGTCAAATATTGGGCTTCATCTTCATCTTTCCTAATGATTATGATATATCTGAGATTTGGGGACAACTTGATATTAAAAACCAACAGGCCAAGAACATCATCATATATTTAAGCTTCTCTGTTTTTTACCCAATTTTTGTTGACCTCTGGTAATAATAACAATTTGTTATCTTTCTCCCCAGCTGTTCTTCACCCAGATGTTAGTTGGTCTCACGCAACAGGTACAGTCAAACCAAAACTGAGGATACAGTCAACAATGGGCAATAATTCTGAAGACCTTGCATTGTATTTTCTTTTTTCTTCTTTCTCTCTTTCAGTGGATGGTTCCCGTCATTAAAAGCTCCATGAAACCACTGGAGGTGAGAGAGGGAATGACAGTGGAGCTGCACAGAATATCAGGGGATTGGGTTGTTTTCAGATGCAAAGTGCTGCTGTGCGTCATTTGTTAACCTATGGGTCTCTCCTCTCCTTTCTCCACTAGGACATGGATCTGTCCAGAATGGCAGAGAGACTACTGCGATTAGCTGTGAATAAAAACCCAACACATGCATCCACATCCCCACATCACCACTTTGTTTGAATTGAAAGTGTCCTCGTGTTAAAACTGCTCCACAGTCACAGTTTAGCTGAAATCAAAATCACCTCAACATTTATATTTCAGTTGTGTCTTTATGAAATTAAGGATTGAATTGGTTACACACCATTACCATGATTGTGTGCAGGATGAAACAATCATGGTAATAATGACTGTGGCTGTGGGGGAAAGAAATCTAGCGTGAGGGTTTTATTTGTTGTTAGTTCTGACATTTCCTTGACTTCTTCTAAACGTCTCACGCTCACATAGTGTCATATTCATATTCGTCCTCCAGGTTCCTAATCACCTGCTGTGGCTCATGTTTTTCTACTGGTTCTTCCACTCGTCTATGAACTTCAGTGCAGAGCTGCTTCGTTTTGGAGACCGACAGTTTTACAGGGACTGGTGGTACGTTTGTGCGACTGTGTTTGAGAATTTTATGAGGTGTGCTGTCTGGGTTTGTTCTGCTCAGGGTCACGGCACGCAGTGCTATATGCTTGTAAATGGTATATGTCTCTATTTATATTGCGCTTTTCAAGTCTTGATGATCACTCAAAGTGCTTTACAGTGTAATTTGTCCATTCACCCACATGTTCAGACAGAGCTGTAGAAGGGTTGTGCATGCAGACAATTCAGTAACTAAATGTTTTGTGAAAGTTTAAATGAAATAATTTTACCAATAGATTTCAATTTGATGCATCCTTTTATTATTGTACATTTGTAGATCAAAGCAAATTTCATGACTTAGCTTACGTGAGGATAATTTCCTCTTTTCCCATGTGACAATGCAGTTTTTAGACTTTTTCAACATTAATCAAACAGCCACTGATCCGTTATTTAGACACTGTAGTGCTTCATCACTCTTATTTGCTGACTCCTCTTTCAGGAACTCTGAGAGTGTGACATATTTCTGGCAAAACTGGAACATCCCTGTACACAAGTGGTGTCTACGGTGGGTTCCTCGCACACTAATACATCGAAGGGGAAGAGATGACATTTATCAAAGTGAACGCAGGAGACGGCAGGGGGTTTGATGCAGGGAGAAAAAAACAGTCACTCTGGTGTATTTGAGAGACTGATTCATCAGGCTGAGAGAGAGTAAATGGAAGTTATAAATACAGTGTTAACAGCCAGGCTCATAGTAAATAAAAGGCTTTTTAGGGACTACTTACTTTGACTCCCTGTCAGTTAAGAAGACAGTTTAGACAGCAGGAAAATAAAATGGTAAATGACTGATGAATCCTTTTCTACTATTTGTGTCAGAGTATTTCTTTTTGTTATTGTTTGGATACCTGACCCAAGTCGGGCCGGGTTCGGACAAATAATTTAAAACTATATTGGTCTCACGTCATGTTGATTGGGCTGATTTTCAAAATGTTTTGCTTTACATTAACTGCACTGGGCTCGGTCGTGGTCCAGACACAAAAAATAAAATCTCTCAGGTTTGGGTCAGACTCTGTTAGTTTCCTCTCGGGCTTGAACAGGCCAAGCCACACACACATATCCACATATCCATTTTGAGTTGCTTCTAAAAATTATATTCAGCATTGATCATTCTGCCAAGTATTTTCTTGACGAATACTTTTGTCAATAAAATGACAGATAATGGTAAAAAGAAAACTATCATCATCATCAAACAAGTGTCATATATGATAGCAAAGTGAATATCAGTCGGTTTTGGACTAAGTGAAACATAAACCTTGAAAAATAAACAAATCGATTGGTAGATTAATAATTTGAGTTCTTCACTGTGCATCAAAGTGTTTGATAATCCATCACTCTGCCTGTGTTTTAGCCACTTTTACAAGCCGCTGCTGAGGAGAGGATTCAGTAAAATCCTCAGCCAATCAGCTGTCTTCTTCTTGTCAGCTTTCTTCCATGAGGTAAGAGCTGAGGACAACTTTCAGTGGTGATCTACACATGGTAGACTAGTCTCAGACTTAGTAACCTCTACCTGATAGAAGACTTTTAGTCTCCCTCTCCATCAGATCTCTAAAAAGCTCTGTCATGTAAATGCTCCTGTGCAGACATTCAGACTATTTCCTGTCTGTCTCCGTCAGTACCTGGTGAGTGTTCCTCTCAGGATGTTCAGACTCTGGGCCTTCATGGGCATGATGGTGCAGGTAAGACCCAACACCTCATTTATCTGATGTTAAACTTACAGCACAAACCTTTCAGTGAAATTATATCTAAACGTGTTTTCTTGTTTCTAATATAATTTTTTAACATCTGACAAGGTTAAAGGTGGTATAGGTGGGTTGGAGGTAGTGAGACATGGATTAAATAGTTCATTAGTGCAGCTCAATCATATGTTACTGTTGTGGATGATGCTCCTGTGGGATATTTTAAAAGGTGTTCTCTGTGTTTGGCCTTGGCTCCACTATCATTAAGGTAATTAATGACCTCAGTGGCAGTGCAGGGCATGTTTGATGCATCGTGGGGGGAATATGGAGGAACAATAGGTAATACTGTATAAGTGCCTCTTGTTCTTTGCTGAATGTGTTAGTTTTTTAATCATGCGTGCTGAGTCATACACCTCAGACAAGAGAAAACTGAAAGCTCAGACTGTAATTATTCATTAAAAGAAACACAATCATCCACTGTGTTTATTTAATTAGCTTTTTCTATTGACTCATCAGCTTCCATTTGCCTGGTTTGTTGGGCGCTTCCTGCGTGGTAACTACGGCAACGCTGCAGTGTGGATGTCCCTCATCCTCGGTCAGCCATTCGCCGTCTTGATGTACGTCCATGACTATTATGTCATGCACCACAGACAGGAGGCTAACTGATGCACAAACAACTTGCAGCTTCTTTGTCTCACTTTTCTTCCGCCTGTATCTCTCGTACAAATGAACATAAATACCACTGCAGAAAATGGATACTGTCGTCTGCATGTCAGGATGAGCTGATCAAGTCTATGACAGCATGTTTACATTAGACACCTCTGCTTTGGTTTCTTCTTGCTGGAAACGATCGCTCATGAGGTATCTGAAATACTACTGTGCAGTAATTAAGTGACGACATAAAAATGCAGCTTGTTACTCAGGTGACTTTTCTTCCAGCACCTTGTTAATTTGCCAGTTTAGGCTATAATGTTATTTTATTGGATAATTTATTTTATTTGATTCTGCAAAAACAGCAACGTGCAGGATTATTTAGCGACTGTAAATCGTTCTTTCCTCCTGAGCTGTAGCCTCTTTGGTTACTATCGCTGAATTTTATAAACATTTTTCAAGTGCCTTGTTGGAAGTTATTTCCTACATTTATGAAAATACTGCTACTTTCCCATTATAAAGAAAAATGAATGTATGCTGATTTTATTCGATTATTTTAATATTCTGTTTTACTTTGTCAATTGTGACCAGCCAGCATTACTGTATGTCTGTTTTGTTTGTTTTATACCTGATGTACCTGATGTACCATGACAATAATACAACACATATCCAATCACTCCATTTTATGGATTTCTTTTAAGTCTTAAAAAACTTAAAGAATCATATGCAAAATCAATACATTTGTGTTCTTTTTCAGTCTAGTATCTCAGTAGACTGTTGCCAAATGTCTAAATACAATGTATGTGTCAGAAAATAGACTTTTAAAGAGTTGAATTTAAATCTTTTTTTATTTAAAGTCCAATAGTTTGTGTCTATTCCTGAAAACAGCAATGAAACATCATCTCCTAGGTGGAGGTCATGAGTTAAAAAAATAAAATAGAATCAAATCTTTACTACAGTAACACACAAGATGCAATCAGTGCAATTACTCCTTTCAGCCCTCAGTACTGATCTGGTGTACTCCATGTATATGCACAGTTTATTCTGCCTTTACTGTAACTGCCAGTGTCTCCTGTGATTAAAATCAAGTCCCTGTTGATGGAGGCTTTGAATGAATCCATGCTCATGTCAGAGCAGACACAGATTCAGCTCCACACAAAAACTCACAGGTCACTCCAATCCTGTCACATTCATTTAAAACATTTTTACCTCAAACACACGTAACTTCAGCCAAACCAGGACTCACATGTGATCTCCTAAATTACCTCCAAGTGTCTTTTACACTTTCGTTCACACTTTTTTCATACAGGCTCACATTATTTCTGCCAGTTTAAAATCAGTTTTGACAAGAACATCTGCTAAAAGCCAAAATCGTAAACACATCATGCAAATGACATTTACCATGTCTCTGTGTCGTCTCCACACAGTCACTACTCATTCTCTCATGCTCCATTGTTGGCCTCATCATCAGTCTCTGAATATGGTACCCACTGGGTTGAAAATCTAAATTACACTTTTTCTACTGGGCATCCAGAGTTCACATAATCATGTCACAAAACGTGTCGGTGTGACCGTGTGTATAGATTTCATCATTTAGACAGGACTGAACCTGTATCTTGTCAGGTTGACAGTGAATTAAACAGCGAGTCTGAGGCAAATCACACTTTTTCTGTAGGCGTGTGTGTACCTGCTCTGCAAGTGTGACATTTGGTTAAACAATCTTCTGCGAGGATTACAGCGTAGATGTGACAGGAGACGTGGCTTTGCAGGATACACGGTAAGATATAGTAGCTCTCTCACTAAAAGTGTGAGATTTATTTATTTTTTATTCCAAAAAAGGGTTTTAAACACGAGTTGAGTTCTATGTGTCAAAGCAGTTTGGGACCTTGGACTGCATCTAAAAATGGTCTTAGCCTCTTTGTCCAGAAAGTGAAGCCAATGCAAGTGCCTGAAACCTGTACTCTCTCAAATGACCAGCAGGGGGGCAAAATAAGTCAGTTTCTATAGAAATTTGATAATTAAATGACTTCTCTCTTAGTTTGTGACGTCAGTAAACATTTGTATAGTTTCAAAACAGAATGATGTTCATTTGATAAGTGATGGTCCCATTTAGAGTCAGAAATACACAATAAATACAATTTGATTGACAGCTACTAGCGTCCAGTGAGTTTATTTTGTAAACACGAAATACATTCTCAGCATTACTCCATTAGATGTGATGCACCTGAAGTGATGTTCTTCAGGCGTTTAAGTCTCAGTGCTGAACATAAATACTTTGGGGTGGTTGGGTGATGGTTTACAAAGAGACTTGGAGGACAATCTTAATAAGATGAGTCTGAGTGACTGTCCGTGCAAGTACTCGATTTCACTCCTATCTCACACTGAAAAGGTGGCCGCCGCCAGAAAGTGCTGCTTTTCCTGCGGGATGACCGTAAATCTACGTCCATCCCTCCTTCACTTTCCCGACAAGTAAACCACGAGAGACCTTGTCATGTCTCATCCGTCATCAATATTCAGACTGTCCCTGACGTGAACTAAAGCCTTCCAGTTCCCCTGCTTGGACTGAGTCACACACTGATTCACCGTCTTTGTACTCGCACAGAAACAAACATGTCACATAACGATCCATGCCTCATTTTGACACCTATACATACAGACACTCACTCTGTCTCCATATCTTCTCTTATCTAATTGTCGCTTTCACACCTCCCCCACTCTCTCTCTCTCTCTCCTCTCCTTTATGTCCTCGCCCTGCTCCTTCTCTTTGAGCGTCGTCGTCCTCGGTAACAGGTTGATCCATGGCTCCCCTCCTGACATCCGTTATTCCGGATCTCTCCGAGGAGCGCTGACAGCCTGTGAGTGATGATGATCCTCTAGACAGGAAACCAGGAGACACAAGCCCGTCTCATTCTGCAAAGACGGATGAAGCGTGGGGCCCAGAGACCGTTATAAAGAGACAGACTCGGCCGCAGTGCATTTGAAAACAACATTCAGTCAAGTGTGTGTGTATTTACACAGATGTGTTAAAGGAATACACAAAGCTTATTCTGAAGAGCAGTTTAAAGGAGACAAATCACTGGTATTTAGCATTGGAGTTGGATTTACTAGCGAACACTTCACATATCGATATAACTCTCGATCCTGATTGATTGACTTTTTTGCGTTTGTGTATATTTTGCTTGTCAAGATTTGACAAAGAACCACACACTGAACATTTTCTATATATCTGATAGTGTGTGGCAGCAGGAATCAGTTTGCTTTAAAGATTCAGTGTGTAAGATTTAAGTGAATAAGGTTATTTATTGGCAGAAATGTAATATAAAATAATCCTTGTGATGTTTTTACTCGTGTGTTTCTATCTAAATTGTACGAATTGAGTTCAGTTTCTGTTTCTTTACTCTAGAATGGGCCCTTTAATTTAGATGCTTTATATTTAAATACAGAGTGTGTCCTCTCTACGGAGGCCGCCATGTTCTTTACAGTAGCCCAGACTGGACAAACTAAACACCTTTTGAGTTTTTATGACAACTGCAGGCTACCACATGTTCTCTTTCAGAGGAGAGTGAGGTGAGGAGTATTCAGCTGCAACATGCAACTTCCCCACTAGATGTCACTAAATTCTACACACTGAACCTTTAACATAATATTTTCGTTTAGAATGAAACTTTCTAGTTCTTCTGTCAATTTGTCCACAATGGCAAAAACTCCAGTGTTACGGGAGTAATCAGATTACTTCTCCTGGTCTTCCTCAGTCTGATTTTTGTGCAGAGCTCGAGCAGCCAGAGGAGGTTTTAATCCAGCAGACTGAAGGCTGATTAATCAGGTTGAGAGAAGTGATTACCCCCATTAAGACCATATTGCCTGTCTTGATTTATTTTCCACTTTTAGCAGGAACAAGTATCATGATGAAAAGAACATCTGATCACTTGTTAAACCTGACGTGTGTCGTCGTCGTCGTCGGGGCTCAGCAGAGAGAGATGAAAAGTTCATGTTCCAGATTTTGTGCTTCGAGTTTATTTTTGATTTATCACTGGTAAAGTAGTTTTAATTTGTATTTATTTTGCTTTGCTGGTTTTCGATTAGGTTTGTAGAAATATGAGGGGTTTCAGTGTGAAGACTCGTGTCACAAGTGTGAGTTATGTTGTTTCAAAGCCGGCACACGAACGCTCTGTCTTTATCTTCCAGTTTAATTCCACATATCACTCTTCATTTATATCCACATTTATAATAAGAAACAGACTAAATCCTTCCATCCTCTCATTTTTTTAAAGATTAATTTGTTCTTCATCAACTTCTTTGACTCACAGCTCACATTTAACATGTTCACTTCTCTCTTACATTTAGTGTAAATGTGCATGTTGCTATGAGGATGCAAGCTCTTTGCTGTAAAATAATACACCTATGATTTACTGGTGGTGATAAGATTTTCAAATATATAGTGAACATTAACGTTTTTACATGCTCATGGGAACATTTTATATCCTGAGTTGTGAAGTAGTTTGTTTGCTCTCATGTGCTTTTGGAGCTGGAATGTGAAAAAAATAATGGACGCCGTAGATAAAATGTGTTTAGAGCATTTAAACAACACTCTGAACCCACTTTCTAGAATTTGCAATGATAACTGAGGGCAAAGAAAAAGGATTAGGTGCTTGTATGACAATATCATACAGTATTTGTTTGACATTAAATCTCCACAATATCTTGGAAAGGTTCAGCCTTTAAGACTATTAGAATAAATCAATTAAAAAACAGTGGTCTTATAAGTATGAGCCTTATTTATCAAGCAATTTCATGTTTGAGTGAAGGAACAGAGGATTACACATTTAATGAATGAGTTCTGCTTGTGATGTTGCGTTCCTGAGTATATCTGGTATTTGCGTCTATTTGTTGCGTGCCTCCTCCAACATTGGTGTGTGTTCATACTGTACATGTGTGTGTGTGTAACAGCAGAATGTAAACACATGCTAAGACTTCCTGTCTGGAGCCCAAACTGAGGGAAGATTTAGAGAGAGAGAGAAAGGGAGGGAGGCTGAACGACAGAGTCACTGAAAGGAGAGTGAGACCGAAAATGATGCTTAAGGGGGGAGAAAGAGAGGGAGAGAAGAAGAAGGAGGAGAAAGATACTTAAAGGAGTGAGACCTGCAACGATAGAAGAAGATGCATCTGAGGAAGTTTGAGAAATCGAACGAGGAAACAGAACAGTGAGTGAGACAGAGTGACAGAAGTGACAGAGAGAGCTCTGGATGCACAGATCTTAAGAAGAAGAGTGTTGATCGCTACGTCAAACTGACACGACTGGAGAACCTGAAAGAGGAGACATGACTGACACCCTAACAAGGGAGAAGAAATTCCGACACAACCACTGATGTACTTGGATGTTTCGGAGATGATGCCAGGGTGCAAAGGTCACTGAGGTTTGAAGCGTCCACTTGGAAAAAATGCAGTATCACCTGGCCCCGACACTGAAAGAGGATTTTTAACGGGGGCGGATGATACAGACACTGCAACTACATCCAAGTCCAGACTTTATCTACTGGTTTGACTATTTTTCTCCAGAGGTAAGTTGTCTTCCACGGTGGATGAGTGGTGGCTGCACAGTGTTTTTAAAAGAAAGGGAAAAGAAATCAGTCTCACATTCATGTTTCATCCTCCAAACCAGACCAATCACAAAGTTCAATTTAAAAAGTAATGTCACAATTCAATTAAAACATAAGTGTACGTGAGTTTGTATCGTTGAATCACATTTTCCATAAATGAATTTCTTTCTGCAAATTAATGTTAGGAAGTTACAACCGTGCTGCGCTCCAGTCCGTGCTTGTGATATATTACACAATCAGAGCACAAGACTCCTCTCAACTGTAAATGCAAAGTCCAACTCTCACTAATTTTAGAGTCGCAGCAACAGCTAAATTTTCCATCTGCCTCCAGGGGTTCTGCGAAAAGCTATAATTTGATGCAGGACAGCGTGAGATCTATGAACCAACATCCCATCCTGCCTCTCTCCCTTTATACATATTTCTCTGTCTTTCACACAATCTGAGGCACACACACACACATACACATACAAACGGGGCTCCCACGCTGCTGGAATTTATTTGGACAGTGTTTTTTGTGAACTGCCTGTGGGTCCTCTGCTCTCCTTTCACTTCATAACCATTCCATCACCACTGTCTTAGATGCTGGAGGAGTAACAATAAGTAAGAAGCAATGATGCATTAGATTATCAAAAAACTGAGGGTTAGGGTCACTCATATTCAAGGTTATATAAAATCTGTGCCTCTGCTCACAGTTTGTTCAAGGATTTACAGCAAATTGAAACATGTTCCTTTTAAAACGTATTGTTTTGTCATGTGAAAATAGATCAGTTACCAAGTTAAGTTCAACGATTTATTTATTCTATGATGACTTTACAGAGCCATATACGCCTGTATATAAAGACAAATTTACATCAAACAGTTAACTTGTCTTTCAATCTGCCTGTATTTTGGTTTCATCATATTAACTAACTAACCATCACTTCAGCGAAATGATCAACTTTTTAAAAAAGTGATAGAAGAATGATTCCCCACTCTCCCTCTTTATGGTACTTCATGAATGAAGGTTTTGCATAAGCACAGTTTTGCTTTAAATTAAATGCACACCATAGACTGCTCCCCAAAAGTGAAGCCAAAGCTTCTTGATCGCCTCCTGGTGGCTGGCTGCAGTACACGTCAAACATATTTTTCTTAAACATTGTTTTTGAAATTTGTATGATATTTGTTGATAATTTGGATTTTATTTAGTTATTTGATTTTATAAAAACAATCGATGGCTGAGACTGACTCACGGTTGGTCAAGTACATTTGTTGGCGAGACTTCACTGCCTCTGCTTCATCCCCTGATCTCTTCTGCACAGACTCCAGATCCCAATGTTCAAGATGGCAGCGTTCGTATAGGCAGGATATTGTGGCCTCATTTTTGGATATTGCGACGTCCATCTTTACAGTCTGTGGTTTACACATATTAGCTTAGCGTGTTAGCATGTTAACACAGACAACTACAGCGGAGGTTAATAACTATTGAGTTTTTCATAAACCAAAGTGGTGAAGAAAAAAAACCTCATGATGGAGCCAGAGGAAAAGTTAAGTAAGCAAGTTATTACAATTTGATCTGAAGCCGGGGGGCATGACTGTACAAACCTTTATGATTATCCATCTAATAATTATGTCACTCATAAACCGCTGAGGTCAACCTCATGGTGGCCTCACCAGAGATATATGATCAATCTTACAACTTAAAAGAAAACAGTCTGTAGCTTTATCTATTTAGGTCAGCGTATGAAATACATCAATGAAAATAAGTGAAATCCATTACTTGTCCTTGTCATTTGTTTCTAAGCACATGAAATAAGTGGTTTAATACACAATTCCCTCAGAGCAGCGCTCATAACACTCGTTAGCGCCGTTAATGATGATGAACTGGCTCCAGTACACTGAATAATATCAGGGGATATTACTGTGAAAACAGCCATTTATTTTCTTCAGTGGTCTTAATGTTGTGTGGCCAGACTGGTCGTGGTAATGCAGATGAATCACATTATTCATGCCTCAGCCTCAGCTGAGCAAGTGATTCTCATTAGCCTGAATAGACGACATTTTTCATCAGCCGCATGATTATTTTGCTGCGAGAGATTAGTTGTGAATCATGAGCATAAACACGACACAATATGCTCGGCTTCCTCTCAGACCTTTCCAGTCTGGGACTCTCACAAGCAATAAACTATAGTCCAGTACAATGTTGTTGTTTACACTCACCTGAACCCTTTTATATATTCACTCAAAATGTTGTCTGGCATTTCCTCAGAGTCTTCAGATGAAACTGTTCCTTGTGGGAGTCTTCAGATAGACTCATTAAATTTAACAAATGAAGTAAAATCATTGATCTAACACAAAAACAACAAAGCCTGTTGCTGTGTGTCATCTTTTTATACGTATGAACCAAACTGCACTCACCAACAGATAGAATCAGTATGAAAATATATATAATTATATAAGAATAAATCATGTCAAGTTTATTTATATAGCACATTTAATAACACAATAATAATAATAACACACAATGTGAAAATACAAGAAAAAAAACATAGTCAAGCATTAAAATAAAAATGATAAATGTTTGAATTAAAATGCATTTGTATTTGTATAAAGTATTTGTATAGCTTTTCTACTTTTAAATTGTATTATACTAATTATTCATGCACCCTCTGACCTCTGTACGATTTGTGTCAGCTGATGAGGAAACACCTCAATGGACAAGACGCATTTCATGTGAGCTAAATGTATTATATCTTTTCTCAGATCATATTCCCATGAGACAGATCGCAGGGACTGACTGCCCCCTGCTGTCTATAAGTAGTGGAATCTGAATCATGTTTGAGTCTTTCCCTCCTCGCAGCTGAAAACACCATATGGACCAGGTCACATACTTAACTCAAGTGACTGAATGTAGGAGCAGGATTTTGATTGTGCTTTGTAAGACATAATCACCAAACTGTGAAAACACGACACGTGAAAAAAACTAACCCTGAAAATTACATTTTGCCTCTTTCTGTTAACTTTTCCTTGTTTAAGTCTAAACTAAAGTGAATCTGTGAAATCTGCAGTCATAAGATGATTATACATTTATGTCACCTTTATCCACCTACAGTCATTACAGGACGACCAGATGTTCCATCCTCTGTCGTGTCAGTGTTTTCATTTCATTCATCTGCATTTGTTTGTCGGTTAGTTTACAGCATTACACAAAAACTACTGTACAGATGACCACAAAACCTGGTTGAAGGATGAGGTATCGTCACGGAGGAAACATCAACGAGCAGAGATGAGGAGCAGACTGCTCTAATTTAATGTGAAAATGACAAAATTGTGAAAGATCCCCAAAGTACCAATTCCACTTTGTTTATATCCAATTACTAGAAGAATTCACCATCTTTCACAGAGGTAAATAAACACATCTCTGAGATCAGGATGGAGTCACACAGACACTGTAGGCATGACTAAACTATTGGATAATATATTAAATGGTGTAAATAAATCAGATACTGGAAAAACAAGGCTCTGTCAGTGTGGCCATGCCAACAGAAACAGTGTGGTCAGAGACTGGAGAGGGAGAGGGGACAACAGGACAGGAGACTGGGTGGTTATGAATTTTGGTGGATCAGCAAACAAATAAGTAAGAAAGACTCATACAAATGATACGTTAGATTTTAGGCACATTTTACAGTAAAAAACCATGTCTCCCTAATGCTAGCTGGGATAGCCACTTATGCTTTGGGGGGGGGTGCAGGAACCAATCCCAGCTGAGATTGGATGAAAGGCGGGATAGAGACCAGGCAGTGAGATGATGCAAACTCCACACAGAAAGACCTCGGCCGAACCTCCTTCCTGTGACGCCAGCATGCAGCTGTTAGCAAACAACATGGTAAAGTACATTTTTACTGTATTAAAACACTGTTTTGTTTTGTCTGACAGCACCAGCTCCATCATTATCACCTCCATTATCAACCACGTGTAGCATCGTCATCATCAGCAGCATCCTCACCATTATGATGGACCTCAACAGCACTGAGTCCTTGGTGTTCATCAATACTTCATTCCCCCTCCTGCCTGTCATAGCCAGTCCCACTAACAGGAGTGGCATGGAAGCATATCTTCAGAGACTGGCTCATTTAGACGAGGGCCTCTACAACGACTTCTACGGCTTCTGGATCGCACTCATGGTCATAAACTCTCTTATATTCCTGGTAGGAACGATTTTATATTTAGTCCCTTTGTTGTTATAGACTCTTGTTTCGGCAATTGGGCAGTCCACTCCTGTTTGCCAGATCAGGGCCACAAGTAAGCCATAGCAGTACTGTGTCAGGTGGCCCGGATTCTTTTTGTTTGGGCCATATTCACCATTTACCACATGGGCCACTTTGGGTTCACGTCCAGATTACATCTTGCGGGGAGCGCTGCATGTTTGTCAAAAAAGGTCCACATTTCTTGGGATATTTGGGCCACATTTGCTCTTGCTTTTGCTAACATTGGGGCACAAGAAGGACAAAAGTGCTGCATCTTTGCCTGAATCTGTTCACTCACTTCACTACACTCCTCTCGTCCTCTCTTCTCCAGATGGGCATGGTGCTCAACGTGGTCGCACTGTATGTGTTCTGTTTCCGCACCAAGCAGAAGACCACCTCCGTGATCTACACCATCAACCTGGCGGTGACGGACCTCCTGGTGAATCTCTCACTGCCCACTCGCATCCTGCTCTACTACAGCGGAGGAGCCTGTCTCACCTGCTCCTACCTGCACATCTTCAGCTACTTCGTCAACATGTACTGCAGCATCTTGTTTCTCACCTGCATATGTGTCGACCGCTACCTTGCCATCGTCCAGGTGGGTTCTGTGTGCAATTTATGCTTTCCGACACCTTTACTGTCATTTTACAGGAATCCAAAAGTATTTAATTTCTTGTGACCTTGCAGGTTGAAGCTTCCCGTCGGTGGAGGAACTCCACCGTGGCCAAATGTGTGTGTGTCTCTGTCTGGCTTTTTGCCATTGTGGTCACCTACTCCTTCCTCTCCACCGCTTTCCAGCACACGGGCTGCTGCCTGTCCAAGCTCCTCTTTCTCACCATCATGGAGTTCTTCCTACCCCTCGTCATCATCGTGGTCTTCACCGTGAGGATCATGTGGGCCCTTGCCGACCGTCGTTTGATGCAGCAGAGCAGGTAAACGCCCTTTTAGGGAAAGTAAAGAAAAAAGAATGCTATTTAATCAATAAAATATGGCACAATGATAAAAGTACTGAGGGAAACCTAAGCAAACGGCTGACAGGATGTCGTGGTGGTGGTTTTAACTGTGTTTTGTCAGGGAGAGGAGGAGGAGGGCCGTCCAGCTGCTGACCACAGTGCTGATCATCTTCACCGTGTGCTTCACACCCTTCCACATTAGACAGGTGAGCAACAGGTATGACACATTGTTACCTCTGCTCAGGAGGAGGTTTTGTTTGTCAGTTAGTTTGTAGGATTTCACAAAAACTACTGGACAGATTACCATGAAACTACGGTTAAAAGATGCAGTATAAGTCTGGGAGGAGGAATTTGGAGACCCGGATCAGGGGGAAGATCCAATCTGTTCCTCAGTTTCTTTAACATTGTGAGATTTGGATCTTGATGGAAAACCATCAGACCTGTTTAGGGGACTGATATCGATGAGTTTTCGCAATTTGGTGCAGATCCAAAAAAAACCTGGATGTTATTAATGTGGTTTCACAAGTTGGGCCTTGGTGGAGGTATCTGCTCTCTAAAGCATCATCAATAATCATCATGTTTTAGTGGCCTTTTCATTTTTCTTATGAAATGAACATTTGTTGTCAGATGTGATCGTCATGTTGTTTGTGTTGTAGGTGGTGGTGTACTTCTACCCTGACATGCCTCATCATGTCATTGTCTATCACTTAACCGTCACTCTCAGCAGTTTGAATAGCTGCATGGATCCTGTCGTCTACTGCTTCGTTACAAATAATTTCCAAGTAAGACTTTCGCTCATGACTCCTCATCTCATTCATCCTTCCTCTCTTCCACCTGATCCATCCTTTCCTGTTCTCCTCCATCATGCACATATTCACACATTTACTTTATGGATTCACTGAATGATGACTATACTGTCTTTTTCTCCAACCAGGCCACGATGAGACATCTTTTTCGTCGTGCAGAGCCAGAGCACACCAGCGGCGACATCATCAGCATGCAGCACAGCTCCAAGGCCTCGGGAGCCACGGCCAACGCCATCGCTAATAACGTGATAATGATGACCAACATCCCCGCTCCGCTACAGAGGGACACTCCGGGGAAGAAACACACCGCATAAATCCCCGTCACATGGGGAGAGGAGAACTGAATTTAAGAGATGCAACAGTCGATGGCTGATAAGTCTGGACTCTGCAGACTGGACAGTGATAGTGTTAGTGTGATAGTATAATAGTATAATGGAAAAATGGCAGCACAGTGCGAGTGAGAGCTCAGGATTAAGAAAGGCTCCACATACTTTTTATAATGAGCACTAACCTATCCCTAGAAGATGGGACCTACACTGCAACAGAGCTGGTTCTGCAACCTTTTTATTTTATCACCTACACAAAAAATTACAATATTGACAAGAGACAAAATTTGTCTGTAACTTATTGTCACGTAAGTAAAACCTCCCCATTACTTTCCAGAGTCTCAAAAATAAAATAAAACTGACTTATGTGTATTGTTATTGGTGCGAATCATTCATGTGACGAAACGGTCCATGCATGACGTACAATACATCTGCAGTTGTTGTCATGTTGTATAAAAAAAGATCACTTTAGGGGGGAACCATCTGATTTCATTGTCTTTCTTGCACAGATACAAATAAATGTTGATGATATCTAAATACTGTTGCCTTAAATGAAGACGTACAATACAATTAAGACAACTCCTTTCTTCATCCAACCTGAGAAATCTAAATTGATCAAGGAAATCCAGACACAGAGACAGATCCCTTTCAAAGTAAAAGTTCAGGAGGCTGGAGGTCTTGTTTGATGTCATGAAGCAGCTGATGTAGACTCACAGTCAAAAACCTCAGAGTGAGTGACCCTCACACCCTTTGATGGAGTGGATAGGACCAATATTTATTTTATTTTATCACTGTGTGTTTACCTGAGTGTTTTGGATACAGTAGATGTTAAGAATTATATGATTATAAGCACAATTTGACGAACAATTCATTTTCTACATTTAGAGAGTTACAGCGTTGGATCAAGATATTTTATGGACAGAAACCAAACCAATTTCTGACTTTTTTTTAAATCAAGAACTACATCAGTATAAGATCA